AAAATTGCCATTAATTTTATTTCATTTTGACCCCAAGTTGATCTTCTTGAAATTTCTATCCATGTAACAGAGCGTATAAGATTTTTATGTTTATCAAATGCAGGGATGTCTTAAAGATAGTGGAAATAGCCTGGGCTAGTGAAAGCTTTATGGACCATTTCCTCCTTTAGCAACATTGGAGAATCAACTTCACTGTCTACATGTGATGCCGCAGTTAGGAATGTTTATTTCTACCTTTTGATTCAGTGATTTTGAGACTTCAATGAAACTTTAGGTCCCTAGAAATCATTTTATTCAAAGCTCACCTTTTATGACTTCAGGATTTGAGATGGTAAGAGGTGAGAGGGACTTGCTCAAGTGAACATGGGGCAAAGCCAGAATTTAGAGGCAAGCTTCCTGATTCCTCATCTCAGACCCCACAAAACTATTGTCTCGCCTCACTCTTCTTGGTTTGTGGCAGAAGCAGCATGATATACGGTCTGTAGTTTTTCTTCAGTACTTCAGTAAAATCGTGTGAATGCCATGAGGGCAGAGACATTTGTCTCTTGAGAGTGTTACTATACCTCAGCTCTAGAAAAGTGCCTGACACAAAGAAGAGCTAAATAAATATTAAATGAGTAGGCCAGGCGCAGTAGCTGCGCCTGTAATCCTAGCACTTTGGGAGGCCGAGGCGGGAGGATCACTTGAGGCTAGGAGTTCAAGACCAGCCTGGTCAACACAGAGAAACCCCGTCTCTAATAAAAATACAAAAATTAGCCAGGTGCGGTGGCGGGCACCTGTAGTCCCAGCTCCTCAGGAGGCTGAGGCAGGAGAATTGCTTGAACCTGTGAGGCAGAAGTTGCAGTGAGCTGAGATCGTGCCACTGCACTTCAGCCTGGGCAACAGAGTGAGACTCTGTCTCAAATAAATAAATAAGAATAAATATTTAGAAAGTAAATTGTATGTGTACATTTCCCATGGTCTTGGCATAGGCAGAGTCTTCAACAATCAAAATTCTGAGAGCAGAATAACAATAGCTTGACTTTCCATCACAACTTTGAGAAAATACACATGTACCTACTGTATATATTCATTTCATTCTACATCTTCGAGTGGTATTCTCAATGCTGGGTGGAAATTAGAATCAGCTGGGAAACTTTACAAAATACAAGTTTCTTGGACCCTTTGTATTTCGTGTACTGGAGGTGTAGCCTGAGCATCAGCATTTTTTTTTTTTTTTTTTTTTTTTTTTTTTTTTTTTTTTTTTTGAGACGGAGTCTCACTCTGTCTCCAGGCTGGAGTGCAGCAGCCGATCTCAGCTCACTGTAATCTCCACCTCCTGTGTTCAAGCGATTCTCCTGCCTCAGCCTCCAAAGTAGCTGGGACTACAGGTGTGTACCACCACACCCAGCTTATTTATTTATTTATTTATTTTATTAAGTAGAGATGGGGTTTCACCATGTTGGCCAGGATGGTCTCAATCTCCTGAGCTCGTGATCTGCCCTCTTCAGCCCCCCAAAGTGCTGAGAATTTAGGTGTCAGCCACCACGCCCGGCCAGCATCGGCATTTTCTAATTGCTTCCCAGAGGATTCTCAGATGCATCCAGTTTAGAGAACTACTGCTCTAAGAAATGTTAGTTCACACCTGAGAAGCCCTAACTATGCCATTACAGCTGTTGGGGTTAGTTAGCATTTGAAAGACGTTAATGAGCTGCTCCCACTCCAGGGGAGGTAATCCTAAGCATTTTACCTATCTTTACCTTTGAGTAGTATTGAAGGATTAATGGTTAATTAGCATTAGAAATGTTACTAATTATTTCTCATTGAAAGGAGAATTTGAAATATGTGGTTTGGCTAGACAAGAATATGAGTCCTGCTGGGTCTCAGCTAAATGTTTATTTAGCCTCACTATGCGTCACTCACTTTTCTACGCTCTTGGAGTCCTAGGCCTATCCTGAGTGCTAGGACTCTATCATATCTTGTGTTAGGCCCTATGTGGAAGAGTCTGTATCATCTTGAGGAGACTAGAAAATTAGCTGAAATCTGCTGCTAGAATGTGGTTGTGGTTTCATTTGCTTCAAATGAACGTTTTTCTTTCTTTCTGTTTTTTAACAAAAAACATAGAGACAGAGTCTCACTATGTTGCCCAGGCTGGTCTTGAACTCCTAGGGTCAAGTGATCCTCCTGCCTTGGCTTCCCAAAGTGTTGAGGTTACAGGCATGAGCCACAGTGCTTAGCCAAGTGAATCTTTTATGCTGGACACTGTCCAAGGGCCTAAATAGACAGAAGGCTGGGCTTCATGAGTTTACTGAATAGTGTCTGTGGCCCTTTGTGCCTATTGGCTGACATGAGTTTCTATGTGTGGCAGAATTTGCACTGAGACATTATTTACTCTAACAAGGCACCTGCTGTAAGGTATTAAGCTGAGACCTACGGCATTTACCTACCTCTAATGTCAGGAGGCCGCCAATATCCATGAAAAGTAACCTACTGTGGGCAGCCCAACTGTGTTAGGGTAGTTTGTGTGTACTTTCTATCCTCTGGCCCTGGGCAGAAGAACTTTAGTCTTGACTCTGCCTTTTGAGAGATGAAGGCAGGTGCCACAATCCTGTTGAAAATGTCTCCAGTACTTTTCTGGTTTTCAAATACAGGTGATTCCATTCCTGGCAGGGAAGGGGAAACAACAATGAATCTTATTTGCTTCACTTTTATGACCTCCCTTTGGCATTTTCGAACATGTAACTGAGCCATGGCTTGACGGTCAGGCTAAGTCAGCCACTTCTCTGGGCCAAGGAAGGTGAGTAACAGCTGGGACTGGGAAGGCTATTAAAAGAGATGGCAAAATGAGCAATTGTAAGTTTAACAGTAGAACAAGGAAACCTCTAAGTCAGAATCTGGCTACAGCCCTTGGAGCACTTCCTTTTAGTATAAAGGTGGGTGTTCTAAGGACAAGGAGTGTTAATAACAATAAAATTTTATGAGCTATAAAATGCTTTTGTAGAAAATTAAAATGCCCATTTTAAAAAACAGCCTACATGTCCACAAATAAGAAAGTGGTTAAATAAGAAATGGTATGTCCATACATGGAAATTCATGCAGTTGTTTAAAATAACAAGATAGATTTATTTGTGCTGATGGAATACTATCTCCAAAACACTGTTACTGAATGAAAAATAATCAAGTATCAAAATCAAATCAGCAGTGAGATCTCAACTAAGCAACATTCTCTGTGTTATTTTAATTTTAATTTTTAGCAATAATGTGTCTATTACTTATACAGTTAAAATATATGAAGATGACATCTATAATCCCAGCACTTTGGGAGTCCAAGGCAGGTGAATCGCAAGGTCAAGAGATCAAGACCATCTTGGCCAACATGGTGAAACCCTGTCTCTACTAAAAATACAAAAATTAGCTGGGCGTGGTGGCGCATGCCTGTAGTCCCAACTACTTGGGAGGCTGAAGCAGAAGAATCACTTGAACCCAGAATTCAGAGGTTGCAGTGAGCCGAGATCGTGCCACTGCACTCCAGCCTGGTGATAGAGCAAGACTCGGTCTCAAAAAGAGGAGGAGGAGGAAGAGGAGGAAGAGGAGGAGGAGGAGGAGGAGAAGGAGGAGGAGGGGGAGGGGGAAGGGGAGGGGGAGGGGGAGGAGGGGGAGAAGGAGGAGGAGGAGGGGAAGGAGGAGGAGGAGGAGGGAAGGAGAAGAAGAATGAAAAGGTGAAGTAGAATGTCTTGAACTTCATATTTTATACAGAAAGATACAATTGCCCTTGGAGCTGAGCTATGGCACATGGATCCGAGTGGCATCCAGGCACCTATTTCAGTCCCTAGGAGACAACAGTAAGTGTGCTTTAGGCACTACTTCTCTGCTTCTCACTTTTTCCAGCTATAAACATGGTCATAATTCTGGTCACATGTCATTTCACCCATGGAAATGCAAAAATCCTGAGGGCAGTGAGAAAAGGCTCATGGAGTGACACTGGAGAAGCTCAGGGATGCTTAGATAATGTCCAGTTTGAGGCTATGATAAAGCCAAATACACAAATATCAGAATTTACACCACAGGTGAACTTTTATGGGAGGGATGCTCATGAAAAACAAATGGCAGAAAACTCTCCTCCAGGGGAGTTTTGTTCTCAATTTTGATGAATAAGAATGATTTGAAAATACAATGTTTTTTGTTGTCTTGTTAGAGAGCTAAATGTACCCGGAATCTCTTTTCAAAGAGCAGATTCTCTCATGATTTTTCTCTTTGCTTATTTGTGGTCATATTCTTTTTACATCTTGACCACTTATCCTCAATTTGTACCTCTCATGTTTTATAATGACAAATTGGATCAACATGGGAAAAGGTTGAACTGGCAGTGATTTCACCAGCCCCAACATCCTTGCATCCACCAGCTTGCTCCTTCAAGTTCAGCCCATTCCGTCAACTCATCTTCAAGTGTCATCCTCAGCAAAGTTTTCTTCAAGACTTCCTGGAGCCTCTCCATTGAATCAGCTAGGTTTCAGGGGATAATTAAATGACCAGAGAAAGAAAAGGGCTTGGTAAGCCTCCCGGCCCACTTTCACTTGCATTCTTTGAGGTGATTGAAACAGCAAAGAGCCTTTTAATCTGTTTTAGTTGCATCCTGAGTGAGTCCAGGTGAGACTAGCCCTAAGAAATCTGTTCTAGGCTCAGTGATTGTCTGCTTCTATTGGATGGAATCAAAACACTTCAACCTAGCATTCACCAACTAGCTGTGCATCTGCAACAAGTTACTTAGTGTTTCTGTGCCTCAGCATCCTCTCTGTAATATGAGAGGACTAGTTTTTGCTCCAACTTGGAGGGCATGGAGAGCGCTGGGATTTCATATCCAAGAGCCTTAAACATTCCACAATCCTTCCCCAAAGATTTATCCTAATACTTCCCTCAGTTTGGATCAGGCCTGGAACAAAAAGGTATAAGAAATGGTAGAAAAAGTGTCCATGACTACTTATGACTTAGATGAAGAGACCAATGAAAATATTAATGGCTCTGCTTGCTTCAGCAGGACATATACTAAAATAGAAGCTCTGCAAAGAAAATTAACATGGACCCTGTGCAAGAATGACACAAATTTGTGAAATATTTCATATATTAAAAATAAATAAATAATAAACAAAGAAAAAAATTAAAAAGAATATAGTGATAGCTGTGTCCACCTCAAAGAAAAGCCTAGGAGATTTCCTTTAATTAAACCCCTTTTAGGATAGAACATTAGGAGACCAGAACATATGATACAGGAGGTACTGGGAAGGTTCCTGTTTGTTAATGTTTTGTCTTGGGGTTGGGAGTCAGTGTCTTTTGAAAGTTCTGTAAACACCATCCACTGGCTGAGCATTCAAGGTGGAAGAGGAGAATGACAGTCACATTTGTTGACTGGGTGAGTTTGGGGAGAAATAGACACACAAAGGTCAAACATATCTTCCTAATTAACATTCCCCTCCATTCACAATTCCCTTCTCCCATTCTTCTCTTCTTCCTTTTACTGAAAAAAAAAAAAAAAAAAAAAGGTACGATTTTAAATAGCTTAAGGATAGTAAACCCAGTTTCTCCTGGAGCTATAAAAAGACCCCACTGTTTTAACATAATTTGCATCTCAGAGATTAGAAACCAGAAATAGAGACCTTTTTCAACCCTTCCTGAAGCACAGTGCATCATCCCTCTGGCCATGTGTCTCAAATCTTGATGCATCAGAATCATCTGGGTGCTTTGAAATTCAAGATGATGCATGGGAGTTACCATAAACCGAGTCAGAATCCCCTGGAGTGGGGCCCAGGAATCTGACAAGCTCCCACAGGTGATTCCTTTCCCCATAGCATTTGAGACCTTCAGCTTAATGGCATAATCAGAGTCCTGCCATTGATATACAGATAGATAGATAGATAGATAGATAGATAGATAGATAGATAGATAGATAGATAGTATTTTTAGTAGAGATAGGATTTTGTCAGGTTGCCCAGGCTAGTCTTGAACTCTTAAACTCAAACAATCTGCCTGTCTCTGCCTCCCAAAGTTGGGATTATAGGCGTGAGCCACTGTGCCCAGCCAATAGCTGGTCTCATATACTCTATTTATTGACCACTCTGATCTATTTTGAAGAAAAAATGCTCGAGTTATTATGCTGTTTTAGAACATGGTAAGCATATCATGTGCTAATTATGGCCAGTGACATCATAAAATAAAAGTGCATTACCAAATGCTTTCAATTTCTTATAATGATGGTAAGGTGGCATGTCATGGGGCCTTTTTAGCCCTAGACATCACTCCAAAGAATTCCAAACAGATATAGCCAAGTGCCCTTAGGGCCCAGATCTCTTCCCCTCAGGCTGTTTACCCAGGGAATAGGATGTCCTGAGGCAAGCTTCCCCCAAGTGAAGTGTTGATAAGTCTGCTTATCAGAAATACATTACTGGGGGTGTGATATGTAGGGCATCTACATTTTCATGATAGGTAGTCATATGAAAGCTGACAAAGAAAAAAAAGGGCAGTGATGTGGTGCAATGTCAACAGACAGCTGTCCCCTGCCTCTTGACAAATAGGATGACTTGCATTGCTGAGCCGTGTGATCACCACCAAAGGAATGGCCCTCTCATATTTCTTCCTGATTCACATATTCAGCGGGGTTAACTTGTCCTCCCCTCCCTCTTCAGCTTCCCAGACACTAAGTCTGGAATGAAAATTCACCTGCCTCTGAGTTGGCGGGGGTGTTACTTGGGTTCCCAGGTTGGAAGATTATCTCACCCGGCCCCAGCTATATAAGCTGACCAGTGTGGAGGGGCCCAGCAGGGCCAACTCCAGGGATTCCCTCCAGGAGAGAAAAACATACAAGACGTCTTCAGCCAACATGATGGTACTGAAAGTAGAGGAACTGGTATGTAAGATGCATTAATTTTACAAAATGAAAACTCGTTCATCTTGGTTTTTATTAGAAAATTGAAATGCCCTTTGCTTTCAGGCATAATGCAAGGAAACTGACAATGTCATATGTGGAAAAAGGTTGATGTGAGGAAACAAGTGAAATTGGAAAAAAAAAATGGAGCTACCAGTAGTGAATTCTCTGCATATTTCCTATTTAAAATCTTCTCCTTTGGTTTTGTTATCACAGTGTGGAATCAAATGTAGTTATCAAAATGTCTTAGGGAAGAAATTTTATTGCAAGAATGTAAGTCTGGAAAGTTTACAGTCAAGGCGAAGAGTCATCCAAATACCTAAAGTTGAGTTTTAAATAAGTAGGGAAGGTTTGTGATTTTCCTAAAAGAAATGTGATTAAGCAGATTTAAAGTAGATTTACATATGTCAACCTAGCCCAGGAGCCCAGGTTTTGATTTAACCAAGAGAGTAAGACAAGCACCTGAAGGTAATTCTGGGACATTTGTAGCCGCATGTGTCACAGCCTGGGGTCTGAGAGTGCACTGTGGGAAGGTGGCTGTCCCAGGGGAGAAGGACCAAGAGCCTTCTGCAGCGTTATCTGTGAAGAATGAGCTGGGACAAGGCTGCTGCTTCTGATGCTGCCATCTTCTTCCCTCATAGGTCACTGGGAAGAAGAATAGCAATGGGGAGGCAGGGGAATTCCTTCCTGAGGATTTCAGAGATGGAGAGTATGAAGCTGCCGTTACTTTAGAAAAGCAGGAGGATCTGAAGACACTTCCAGCCCACCCAGTGACCCTAGGAGAGCAACAGTGGAAAAGCGAGAAACAACGAGAGGCAGAGGTGAGAGCGCCTGTGGAATGCACTAGTAGGATGTTGGGGTTGGGATAGGGAATGGCAATGCCAGGGAAGGAGAAGAGAGAAACAAACCCAATCATTAAGATGTTTCTTTACCACATGCTAGCCCATAAAGAGGCAACTTGTATGGTACAGACTTTGGGAAATAATTCTTTGACAAGACTATGACCTCTGAATTCTGAATCAATGGTTAAATGTGCTGTGACCGTGTTTTGATTGAAAGATACACATGTCCAGTGAATTTCTGATGCTACATGCCACGTAGTTAATCCCAAGCAAGGGACATCTCTCTTTCTCAATAACGTGGTTTGTGGTCCGTGGATCATTGTTTAACTGTGTCTGCTGTCTGTGTTGACACAATCTGTGTTTCTCAGTGAATTTTCCTTAATTACTAGCACAGATAAAATATGCTTTAGCTAGCTGTGGTCTCTCAACAGTCTGTTTTAGAGGCCCTGCTTAGTGAAAGAAAATGGCATTGATATTTCAGAGCTTAACATTTATTCTTAGATTCTTTTTTATCATGATCAAAAATTAAACAAGGTTTTGAGCATAATTTTTAAAATCCTTCAAAAATCTAGGGCTTGTTTATGGCATTAATTACAAAGTCATCACTTAGAGACCAGATCATGTCCCCAGTTACTCAAGGGCTGATTCTACAAGCAACAAATAAAGATGATGGCAATTAGCTGAAAATTAGACTCCCAGATAAATATCTGAATAAGAAATCCCTAAAATGAAGTCAAAGATTTATATAATTTTAAAAAATGGTTTTGCTTAAACTGTTCACATGTTTATCTCAGACCTTGCAGATTTAGTTTAGACAACACCAGAATGCTTGTCAGTAGAACTCACCATATTTTTGAAATATGAATTTCTTTTTTAGCTTAAAAAGAAAAAACTAGAACAAAGATCAAAGCTTGAAAATTTAGAAGACCTTGAAATAATCATTCAACTGAAGAAAAGGAAAAAATACAGGAAAACTAAAGTTCCAGTTGCAAAGGAATCAGAACCTGAAATCATTGTAAGGGCTCTTTTGGTTTCCAGTAATACATGTCCAGTGTTGTGCTACAGGGGAGCAAATACCTGTGGAGGGTTTGATTAAAAGTTGGCAAGCTCACGGTAACTCTCATGCTATATATATATATATTTTTTTTTTTTTTGCTTTAGACAGAACCTGTGGATGTGCCTACATTTCTGAAGGCTGCTCTGGAGAATAAACTGCCAGTAGTAGAAAAATTCCTGTCAGACAAGAACAACCCAGATGTTTGTGATGAGGTAAGACTCATACAAAGCAGTGCAAAATCCAGCTCATTGATTTTATGTTTCTTTTCTTTTTTTTTTTTTTTGGGGGGGGGGGACGGAGTTTCGCTCTTGTTACCCAGGCTGGAGTGCAATGGCGCGATCTCGGCTCACCGCAACCTCCACCTCCTGGGCTCAGGCAATTCTCCTGCCTCAGCCTCCTGAGTAGCTGGGATTACAGGCACCCGCCATCACGCCCAGCTAGTTTTTTGTATTTTTAGTAGAGACGGGGTTTCACCATGTTGACCAGGATGGTCTCGATCTCTCAACCTCGTGATCCACCCGCCTCGGCCTCCCAAAGTGCTGGGATTACAGGCTTGAGCCATCGCGCCCAGCCGATTTTATGTTTCTTATGCTTTACTGCAGCCTTGATAGTATAGTTCCAAAGTCCTTCCACCTGAAACAGTTTCCCCAGCTGATGCTGCGTATGCCAGGAGCCTAATAGGAGAGTTCAATGGTACAAAAAATAAATAGATATTGGATCAGTACTACAGATTGCATTGCTTTGTTGTTGTTGTTATTGTTGTTGTTTTTGTTGTTGTTTTGCACTCATATACATCTAGCTGATTTTTCAGTTTTTTTTTAACTTTTTAGATCCTTATGATAAGACTTACAATATGAGCCAAAAAGTCCCCTTTAGAGATATATGATTGGCATCATCTTTGATTGAAACCAAACGCATCAACACTAGACCAGAAATCTGGAGATTAGAGTTCAGGGGTGGGCCAGCTGTACCACTACCTAGCTATTTGCTTTTGAGCAGCTAATTTGCATCCTCTGAGCCCTGGTTTTCTTATCTGCAAACATAGGGCATTGGAGTGAAATAATGCCTAAGGTTGTTCCAGCTCTAATCCTCCATTAGCCCATTCATATAAAGCCAATTTATCAGAAATTACTAATCCTTTTGTATTCTTTCCCCCATGAAGCGAAATTGGGCATCACTTCTGAAGTTGAACTAAAAGCATGTCTCCCATTCTCCTAAAAATGAATTGAAACTTTTTGATAGTCAGTCTAGCTACAGGCCCAGATGCAAGAAAACTGCCTGATGTGCATGGTAAATGCTATATGAACAA